GGGGCTGTAGAGGGTCCCCCCCCGTTCTGAGTGGGGGATGGTATTATGGGGGAGGGGCTGTAGAGGGTCCCCCCCCGTTCTGAGTGGGGGATGGTATTATGGGGGGGGGCTGTAGAGGGTCCCCGTTCTGGGTGGGGATGATGGTATTATGGGGAGGGGCTGTAGGGTCCCGTTCTGAGTGGGGATGGTATTATGGGGGGCTGTAGAGGTCCCGTTCTGAGTGGGGGATGGCGTATATGGGGGAGGGCTGTAGAGGGTCCTCACAATTCTGTGGTATTTGAAGTTGTGGATTGTTACTCCTCTGCACATCCAGTCTGACTATAAGGGGCACTCATGTCATCCCCAATTCTTACTAAAAGTTGATTTCCTGAAAGTTTGTGTTTCTGTTCCTTTTTAGGGTGCTGACACAACTGAGGCTCTTACAGCTACTGGATGCCTGCCTTCGGAATTCAGATTCAGCAGCTCCCCAACAATGGAAAACATGTGAGTTTCTGTGCCCTTAGTTTCATTTTTCCAACTGGCAAATTAAGATATTTCTTGGGGATTACCTTATAAAAACAAGCTGAAATGGGGAACATATGACCCCTGTGTTGTCCAGTCATTCCCTCCCAGTTTAGAAGGCTTTGCAAGGCCAGTTATGTTGGGAGACTGTCATATTATTTACGAAACGGTGAATTCAAAATCACATTATGAAGTTTTGTTGACTTTTTGTTCATTTTGCAATTGGGATTTCCGTTCCCTAGAAATCCATTGTTTAAATAAACACACAGCAGTGTTGCAACTTAAAGGGGAACTGCCATCTCGAAGAGGCTTACACAATCTAATCAGCGTACGCAGTGAGTTGTGGAGTTCACTCCCTGCAATACCACGGGAAATACGGCTTCTCATCAGTCTGCTTCCTAACCTGGAAGTAGTGTTTGTGAACCTTGCTCTGCTGCTCACCTTATTAAATGTCTGTTTTACCAGACTCTGAGAAGGCTTTATGAGATCAATGATGACTGTCACCAGTTCAAAGGGTTAATAAAAAAAACAAAAAAAACAAACTAGTGTTAGGAAAACCACAGAGCCTGGCCTGTGCCAACTAATGAATTAAACAAAATGTTTTACACTTACCTTATTCCAGTGCCAATGTCACTCAGTAGTGGGTCACACTCCGCCACGTTAGCCAATGAGGGGAGGCTAACTTACCTGTGCGTCGAGCCATGTGCACATTAAAACATCCCCATATCAAATCATTGACTCAAAGATTTCTTACTGATCTCTTCTAATTTCCTACTAAAACCTCTCGAGTCACATCGTTAAAATCTGTCTTAACCCTGCAATAGAAACAGTTTCTCTAAAACTGCAGGGTTAAGGGGACAGGGACACTGCACCCAGACCACTTCAATAAAGTGAATATAGTGTGCCTTCAATATTCAATTTCTATAAAGGTTCAGCTATGTATGTAATTATCAAACAAACTCGTTTTCTACAATTTTGAACTTTTTTTTTTTTTTTTTTTTTACACCTAGACGTCAGCTCCAGGCCCAGTTTACAAGGGAGAGAGACTGGAATCGGTTCCATCAGCCCCGGAACCTCCTACTTGCGCTTGTTGGTGAAGTTGGGGAACTGTCTGAGCTCTTGTGAGTATAGAGCTGAGGAACATTTAGATACACTAGATATCGGGGTGAATTTGATTTAAATCCCTATTCAGGGAAAAATTCATTAAACAGATTTGTATTTAATTTATTTTTTAGTATATGCTGTATTGATAGAGCTGGCTTTTTTTTGTTAGGGAGGGGTTAAGGGGGAATGGTATATTGGTTGTGGCTATTGGGGGAGGTATATTGGTAGACTTGATATTTCGGGGGCTGCATACATGCAGGTTATCAAGAAAAATGAAAACAAAGTTGTGGATAACTTGCTACAGTCGGCTGTAAAACAGACTTTATTTGCTATAGATGGTCGGTTTGTTGCTGCTGCCTGTACTGGGGGAATTCAGGCTAACTAAGATATTCTACATAGTCATCACCTTAGACTTAAATGTTCTTATCCTGCCAACAAACACCATCTTAAAGGGAAACTATAGCCACCCAGATCACTTCAGTTCATTGATGTGGTCTGATGCATTGCACCAGGTCCCTATAGTTTCCCTTAAATGAATAGGGAGAACCTAAGTGGGATTGGTGGGGGGGACGACGATTCATAGACTATTGAAAGATTAGTCTAGTCTATGTTGTACATTGGTCTTCCTTCTGGTGAGATCTTGGTAATTCTCTTTCTAGTCAGTGGCAAGGAGAAGTGGCAGAAGGTCTCCCTGGCTGGTCAGAGTCCCAAAGAGAAGCTTTGTCACATGAGCTGAGTGATGTCCTTATCTATCTCCTGGAGCTGGCAGAGAAATGCCGAGTGGATCTTCCCCAAGCTGTGCTCGCCAAGATGGAGCTGAATGCCAAGAAGTATCCTGCAAGCCGCGTTCACGGCAGCGCTAAGAAGTATACGGAGTATAATGCCGATAATGGAGCCTGCAGCTCAACTGAGCCAGGACTGAATGCTTAATGGATAATTCAGGACTTGACAATCAATGACAGAAAGTCTCCCGTCTGTTTAGTGAGTGGGAGAGTTCCTAAAGAGTTCATCTTCTTCTGTGCTAGTGAATAGTTGGAGATCAGGTTCTTGTTGCCACATTTCTGGCTTTAATCTCTTGTTCTGGATTTTATTCTCGTTTTAGAGTTTGATTTTATTTTTACTTTGTGTTCTAGTGTTTTTTTTTTTTTTACTTAAAAGGAAAAAAACAAAACTCACACCTTGTTTGTCATTTTGCTGATGGTGTCCATCTGTGTCCGTGTTGTACCCACACAGGAAGCTGTTGATGGGTGGGGGAAGACTGGTGCTGGTTACCATGTCTCGAACATGTAGTGTGGGAACACAGCAGCTCATGTTGCACTGACACCCCTTGTCTTCCTTTGTGAACTCTGCAGGCGTTCCAAGCCAGGCTGGGCGTGGATTCATACGATAGTGGTTTGTGTCTTAACCACCAGTGTAGTGTGAGAAGAACGGGATATGCTGTCATTATGTGAGATCATTTTTTACAGATCTGAAACCACATTATGCACTTTTTCCGGTCTGCATAATAACCAAGCCTTAATATTACACATCCTCCTCCTCAATGCTCTAGTTAGAATTGTCTGGAACATTCTCCATGGGGCGAGCCTGTTCAATGTGCCTTGCTTATTAAAAGATCAGTTACCCAGCTTACTGTAACTTGTTAAGACAAACCTTTTTTTACAGCAAATATTAGTTTTACAGTAATAGGGCTGGAAAAAAACATGGGTCCATAAAGTGTAAAGCCTTTAACAACTTTTAATTTTTTTAATTTTTTTATTTTAATATGCTGAACTGAAGGACAAAAATCCAATTTGATGTGAGTGCCAGCTCAGCCACGGAAGGGGGGAGGACATTTGTCTTTGGCTGTAGTGCGCTCATTATTGTCAGGGTTATTCAATAAACCAACCATGGTAACCACTACCTCGCAGTCCCTGCACTCAGAGCACAGCCACTGAAATTTCCAGACTGCAAGGGAGCGATTAATGAGCTTTGTTGGAGATGTTCACTATATGTTCTAAGCCCTTCTTCTCCCCCTCTGTTTCCTCTGTATCAGCCTGGCCAGCTAGCAAGGTGATCCAGCTTATTGGATTTGTTCAGTTGAGTAGAATCATTCCCTTCAGACTTTTTGCAGTAAACACATTTATTTATTTTTAGACAAAATGCAGTGTTTAGATTAGTCTAGGGATACCTCCAGTGGCCACTCCTCAGCTGGCTGCTAGAGGTGCTTCCTGGGGCAGTGCTGCATAGTGTGACTGACATTCAGTGTCTCCACCCTCTGCATGCAGACACTGAACTTTCCTCGTACAGATGCATTGATTGAATTCATCTCTATGGGGAGATGTTGATTGGCCAGGGCTGTGTTTGACTTGTGCTGGCTCTTCTTCCTTGACTCTCAATCAATCCTATGGAAAGCATTGTCATTGGCTGAGATCACTTCTGATGTCATCCAAGCAGGCAGATCAGGGGCAAAGGCAGGTAAGATTTTCACTGTATTTAGGGGAAGACTAAGAGGATAGATGGTGGCTTTAACACTATAGGGTCAAGAATTCATGTTTGTTCCTTTTTTAATGTTATCCCTAACCCAACTCCATTTAATATCTAAGTGGCGTGTGGGTTCCTTATTACATTGCATTTATGTGCATTGAATCTCATCTGCTGCTAGAGACATTGTATCACGTTCGGACTGTATTTCCTATAACTCTCAATGTGGGAGAGGAGGAGAGCGGTGCCTTGGAAAGTTCTCGAATCCTGGTCAGTCTGTAACGAGGAGTAGGAATAAGTGTAGTCTGTTGGTTATTGATTGAAGAAAACAAAGGACATGCACTTGGTTTATGGAGCAGACAATTGGCTCTGATCTTAAAGGGACACTATAGTCACCTGAACAACTTTAGCTTAATGAAGCAGTTTTGGTGTATAGAACATGCCCCTGCAGCCTCACTGATCAATCCTCTGCCATTTAGGAGTTAAATCCCTTTGTTTATGAACCCTAGTCACACCTCCCTGCATGTGACTTGCACAGCCTTCCATAAACACTTCCTGTAAAGAGAGCCCTATTTAGGCTTTCTTTATTGCAAGTTCTGTTTAATTAAGATTTTCTTATCCCCTGCTATGCTAATAGCTTACTAGACCCTGTAAGAGCCTCCTGTATGTGATTAAAGTTCAATTTAGAGATTGAGATACAATTATTTAAGGTAAATTACATCTGTTTGAAAGTGAAACCAGTTTTTTTTTCATGCAGGCTCTGTCAATCATAGCCAGGGGAGGTGTGGCTAGGGCTGCATAAACAGAAACAAAGTGATTTAACTCCTAAATGACAGTGAATTGAGCAGTGAAATTGCAGGGGAATGATCTATACACTAAAACTGCTTTATTTAGCTAAAGTAATTTAGGTGACTATAGTGTTCCTTTAATGAGCCGGGGTGCTCTAATCCCAGCCTGTGAATGTGGTGCCTGGATATTGTGATGTCACGGATGCTCCCTTTTTATTAATCCGTTTCTGCCTTATTTATTTTACTCCACATATATTTTGCGTTTCTTCTAGCGCTCCATAATCATGTATCCGCTCTATAATGGCTCCGATTCCCTTTTGTTAGAGCCGCATCGTCCAATTTGACTGGCTCTCACTTCAGAGGACTCGTTTTTGTATGAAATTTCTCTCCCATCTTCCCTCCTCTTTGTCTATGTAGCCAGTAGTTTAATTCTAGATTTCTTCTAATTTACCATGGCCAAGAACTCCTTTCCAATAATGTAGTGGAGAGGCAGTATAATCCACGATATCTCCGCTGGGTAACAGGAACAACAAAGGATAATCCAGGGGAATCGGCATGCAATAATCCAGGTAGCGTTGTAGTAACCTTTCCTTCCCAAGAACTAGACGACACATAGGCTGGGAGTCAACTGAGGTCTTTATTCACAGCTCCACAATTTATACAAGTCCCCATGCAAGGGGTTTCCTGAGTCCTATTCCAGGGGCATTCCCAGAGTGGACTACATGGGGAACTTAATGTACAGAGCTTTTCTCCCATCAACCACTGCTGCACGAGAGGGATACTCCCACTAGAATGTACCGTTGAGTGGATTATCCCTCTGTGCAGCAGAACCGAAAATTCACCTTAAAATCAATAACTCTTCACATACTTGACAGATTTAAACAAATGGACGTTCGGTAGATAGCTGGGGTGTGAGCACACCGTTCGTGTGAATACCGCTCAGATCCCAGCTAAAACAACCGAACGCCGTACGAAAAACACATTATTCACAACACAAGTTAAAAATACCGATTGACATAGATGAATAAAACTACCGAACGTCCCGGGACTCCCGAACGCTCTGGAAGCCCAGCGGTGTTTGCGCCGTCGAGTAGCCGTTTTCAGTTCCATGCGCTCGACGACCAAACACCGCTGGGGGAACAAAGGATCCAACATGGCCGACCGCCGCATGGTCGGTAGTCGAACGGTGGCCACCTAGGAGAGCCTCTAATTACCGATTGCAACAGTGTTGCAATCGGTTAACAAGCGCCACACGTCTCTTAGTGTGTGGGCTATTGGCAGATAGTTCATTCGTTTCACGAACGGCTCGCAAAAGTGCCGTTCGTGAAACGATATAGAAACTGACTATCTGCGTTTGGCAGATCCAATACAAATCATATAGCAGGCAGCATACAGCAGATGCAAACAGTTACATACATAAAATATACCGGCAACCCTTAAAGGCATATTGTCCCTATTTAGTCCAAGTGGCTAGGTTTGCCACAAATAACTCCCCGGTCACGTGTATTCTACCACATACAGCATTCTAATCCACTTTAGTCACTATATTACTGTCCCTTCTGGTCTACCTGCCACTGAACCAAGAGATCCAGTATTTTCCCTCTAGATTAGAGGCCGTGCTCTACACATGGGATATCCTCTAGTCTGGACGGGAAATGCCAAAAGACTCCTAATATTTAAATGAGCTCCAAGCCACAACCCCAGTACTCTGCCTGCCTTCGTCAGGATAGCCGGCACTCACTTTTGTGTCTCCAGGATAAGGTGAGTCTTGGCAATTTATGTATGTCTAAATCTCCAATGTTAATTACATATATTGTACTTGGTTATTTCTCCTCTTGCTTTGCCTTGTATTTCTTGTCTTGTCTTGTGTACATGTTCTGGATTCTGTTTTCTGACCTGGTCCGGTTCTGGGTTCTTCTTCTCTTGTTTCTAGTACTGAATACATATCTGCATTTTATCAAGCTCCTGGGATCTGCAGAAGCTGCATCAGAGCCCTGGTAGGTGGCCAGACAAACCCTGGTGCTCAACACTGGGGGAAGTGTGGTTACCCTGCACCAGACCCTCATTGTTCATTTCCACACTGTGACTCCTACCATCATCAGGCATACAGGGGTCCTGGTCACTGGAGCGCCACCTGTGACAGTGTGTCAATATCTCTACAGTGTGTATCTGTCACTTAGTCTGTCAGTGTATGGGTGTGTCAGTATGTCTGGCAATGTATGTATTTGTGTGTCAGTATGTTTGTCAGTTTGTTACTGTGTATCTGTATGTGAACCTGCATGTCTGAGCACCAACATTAAATACAAATACACACTCCTGCATGGAAATGTCAACACTACATCCAAAAACACTTCTGTGTTAAACACCAAAATTCTATATAAGAATACCCCTACATTCAAAAACCAACACTAAACATAAATGCACGTTTGCATTCAAACTCCAACACCACACGCAAACACAATTGCACAATCACACTCCATACAAAAATATGCTTACATACAAACACCGTGCTAAATACAACCCTGCAAACATGGGGATTGGTAAAGCCATGCTTCCTTTGGTCACAAAGGACTACGATCTATCTTTTGAGAGAAATGCAGTGTTTACATTACAGCCTAGAGATACCGCTACTGGCCACTACTCAGATGGCTGCTAGAGGTGCTTCCTGGGGCAGTGCTGCACAGTGTGACTGACGTTTAGTGTCTCCATCCTCTGCATGGAGACTCTGAACTTTCCTCATAGAGATGCATTGATTCATGTTTGGTCATGCCCCCATTCCTCCTCTGCCGATTTCAGTCAATCCAATGTTTTACCTATGGATATTGGATTGGCTCAAAATCGTAATTTCTGATGATGTCACCAAGAAGGTGGGTCAGGGGCAGGGCCATCGCCTCTGGACCCGACAGGCACTGAGAAATAGGTGTTTTAACACTTGCTAAGTGGTGGGGGGCAAGCCACCTAAATGGTGGTTTTAACACTATAGGGTCAGGAATTCATGTTTGTGTTCCTGACTCTATAGTGTTCCTTTAAACAATAAAGGCAAAATGAGTGTCCGAATAACCTGAGGATAGACATACAGAATACATATCGGTACTGAGACTGGAAGAGGCCTGATTAACATATAACAAATGCTGATCTTCTCAAAGATGACAAGTATAACTACGGCAGTGTGGGCAAACAATAATTATCTGCAAATATGAATAACTGAATATGGCACAGAATGTATTATACATTAAAATGTAGGGTAACTAACTGATTTGCATATAATAAAATTGATATGGCGAAATAAGCGCCGAATGCAGTAAGCAGAATATATGAACCGAATCGAGGTATCACTGTGACGCTATGTATGATTGAAATAGACTGAATTCACGTTAGTAGTGAAACTCGTCATATCCGAATGAGGACAGAATACAGTAAGCAGAATTCATGAACCGAATCGAGGTATCACTGTGACGCTATGTATGATTGAAATAGGCTGAATTCACGTTAGTAGTGAAACTCGCCATATCCGAATGAGGGCCGAATACAATAAGCAGAATACATGAACCGAATCGTTGGATCACTGTGACGCTATGTATGATTGAAATAGGCTGAATTCACGTTAGTAGTGAAACTCGCCATATCCGAATGAGGGCTGAATACAGTAAGCAGAATACATGAACCGAATCGAGGTATCACTGTGACGCTATGTATGATTGAAATAGACTGAATTCACGTTAGTAGTGAAACTCGTCATATCCGAATGAGGACAGAATACAGTAAGCAGAATACATGAACCGAATCGAGGTATCACTGTGACGCTATGTATGATTGAAATAGGCTGAATTCACGTTAGTAGTGAAACTCGCCATATCTGAATGAGGGCTGAATACAGTAAGCAGAATACATGAACTGAATCGAGGTATCACTGTGACGCTATGTATGATTGAAATAGGCTGAATTCACGTTAGTAGTGAAACTCGCCATACTCGCCATATTTGAATGAGGGCAGAATACAGTAAGCAGAATACATGAACCGAATCGAGGTATCACTGTGATGCTATGTATGATTGAAATAGGCTGAATTCACGTTAGTAGTGAAACTCCCCATATCCGAATGAGGGCAGAATACATGAACCGAATTGAGGTATCACTGTGACGCTATGTATGATTGAAATAGACTGAATTCACGTTAGTAGTGAAACTTGTCATATCCGAATGAGGACAGAATACAGTAAGCAGAATACATGAACTGAATCGAGGTATCACTGTGACGCTATGTATGATTGAAATAGGCTGAATTCACGTTAGTAGTGAAACTCGCCATATCCGAATGAGGACAGAATACAGTAAGCAGAATACATGAACTGAATCGAGGTATCACTGTGACACTATGTATGATTGAAATAGGCTGAATTCACGTTAGTAGTGAAACTCGACATATCCGAATGAGGGCAGAATACATAATCCACATTGCTGCACTTTATTCGTTTTTTTATTTAAAAGCATATTGCTACATGTTATTTTAGAAAACTTTGTCAAAGAACAGCCGAGGTACACAGTGAAAGGGGGATAACCCCTAGTGAAAATGAATGCAAAACAAAAGAAGTGTGTACCTTTAAGGTAGGGAAAGGATTAGCCAGGGCCTGAGACTACAACACCAAGTGTGTAGAATTCAGGTTCATATAGAAGGGACCACAGGGTCCAAAAAATAAAAAACAATTTTATTGGTAATAATTAGTTAAAAACAACACAAAAAAATATATCAGAAATAACACAGAGATCGTAGTATATATATATTAGCTAGACTCTGAAAATAAAGGTACCGATATAGTTCAGAGACGGCAAGATAACCTAACAGACTAGTCTCCAAAATGGAGAAAAATGCCCATAGGAATAATACTGAAGTAATAAAAATAGCCGATATGGTTCAGAGGCAGTAAGATCAATTGTACACCTAGCATGCTGGTCTCCAAATTGGAGGAACATTAGATGATGGGTATAAAAATATATATATATATATAGTAAGAAACACACCCATCAAGGTTGAGAACTATAAGTGTATGTGTATATAGACGTACATATCAAAGAATGCTGCAGTCAAGATGTTAAATTATAATATATGGGACTATAAGATTGTAGCAATAGATCAACTTGATCCTGCAGTCGTAATATTATATATTGTATCGAGCTGTAATGTTGCAACGCTAGATCGGCGTTGATCTTGACAGTTGAATGATTATTCATAAGCTACAAATGGAAAATAAAAATAAAAAACAGAAGAATAAAGTTACTTATGAATAAAAGGGGTGAAGTTGAACTCCTCATTAAGCCCATGAGGGGTCAGAGTTTGGAAATGATAGATCCATCTGGATTCTTTCATTAACAGTATTTTGTTGAAATTGCCCTTCCGAGAATTTAAGGTTATTCTTTCTATAGCCTGAAATGTCACATGGCTAGAATTACCCCCATGATGGAGTCTCACATGATTGGATAGTGGGGTAGAGACATTCGGGTTGGAGATTGAGCAAATGTGTTGAAGGATCCTTCTTCTAAATTGTTGGTAGGTTTTACCGATATACTGAATACTGCAACTGCAGGTTATGAGATAAATCACTTTTGTGGAATGACAATTGATGAATTGTTTAATGTTATATTCTTTTTTTGTACGAGTGCTCAAAACGGTTTTAGAAGGCTTAATATGTTTGCAGGCCTTACAATGGCCAGATTGATATACACCAGCAACCGGAGTTAGCCAAGTTGGATTACGGCTGGGTTCTAGATGGCTGTGAACGAGATGGTCACGGAGGTTCTTAGCCCTATGTGCAGTGATGTTGGGGAACTTGGTGATGTTGTCCTTAAGATCTTTGTCATAATTGAGGATTGGCCAGTTGTGAGACATAATGTGTAGAATAGGTTCCCAGTATTGGTCATATGTCCCGATACATCGAATGATATTGGAATCCGAGACTTGTCTGTTAGCGTGTAGACTCTCGTTCCTATTTATAGCAGAGGCTTGTTGGTAGGCTCTTTTCAATATTCTGTTCGGGTAGCCTTTTTGTTTAAACATAGTTCGTAGCTTTTGAGCTTCAAGTTGGAATGTTGCATCATTAGAGCAGTTGCGTCTGGCCCTCAAATATTGTCCGTATGGGATGCCAGATTTAAGTTTGATGGGATGGTGGCTTTCCCAATTTAACAGACTATTCGTCGCTGTCGGTTTCCGATAAAGCTCGGTTTCGATGGTTCCATCAGGTAGGATCTTAATATTGAGATCCAGAAAGACTAGATGTTCAGAGTCAATTACATGGGTTAATTGGAGGCCAATGGAGTTCACATTCTTCGAATTGCTTAACAGAGCCCAACCAGAATACCAGGACGTCATCGATATACCTATGCCAACTATAGATACAAGTTTGATACCCAGTTCTAATGATGGGATCTAGAATGGTTTCCTCCCACCAGCCCAGGTATAGATTGGCATAGCTGGGGGCACAAGCTGTGCCCATGGCTGTGCCCCTGAGCTGGAGGTAATATGTACCGTTAAAGACAAAAAAGTTATGTGTAAGTACATATTCCAAAAGTTGGATAATGAAATCAGTCTGGCATTCCGAAAATTTGTTGGATTTAGTAAGGAAGTGCCGGGTTGCTGATAGGCCTATGGAGTGAGGTATATTGTTATAAAGAGCCACAACATCAAGGCTCCCCAGAAGGCAGTAGGGTGGCACAATTAGATTTTCTAAAAGGATAAGGGTTTGTTTGGTGTCTTGGAGATAAGACGGAAGACCAGTAACTAACGGATGTAACAGTTTCTCTAAAAATTTGCTACTACGTTCAGTGATAGAGCCATTCCCAGAGACAATTGGTCTACCCGGTGGTTTATTGATGTTCTTGTGTACCTTGGGAAGGCAGTATAGAGTAGCAATGGTGGGATTGAGATGTGGCAGTATGAATCTATATTCGTTTTGTGTAATGATTTTGTTGTCCAATGCTGGTAATAGGATACGCTTAAGTTCTTCAAGATATTGAGGGGTGGGATCCCCAGTAAGTTTATGATATGCTAATGGATCATCGAGATGTTCCATACACATCTCTAGATAGTCATCTTTATTCAGCAGGATAATATTGCCACCCTTATCCGAGGGTTTGATGATAAGATCTGCTGCTGTACTCAACTCTTTAAGGGCTCGTCTTTGGAATGTCGTAAGATTATCATGTACTATCTTAGGGATAGGGAGTGATTCAATAGAAGATGTCGTCATTCGTATAAAAAGATCAACGCTTGACACTTCACTTAGGTTGGGAGTAAACCAACTCTCTGGTTTAGAGTCAGTAAGTGGCAGTTCAAGATTCTGTTCCTCCAGTAAGGACATTAGTGTCTGATGAAGACAATAGTCGTCATAAGGAATACCTGCCTCTTTGGCCAGTTTGTATTCCCTTCTTTTGTGGACAACATTTAGGGCTAATTTGCCCCAAAAAGATTGGTGTCCTTAATCCAATCAAATTTGTTAGCATTAGGGGTGGGAATAAAAGATAAACCTTTTTGAAGTAATGAGATGTGATGCTGTTGTAAATTAAATTTTGATTAATAATCTGATGCATGTTATCACTTGTTAGTACTGATTTGATCTTTTGTCCCGTTTGTAGCCCCGTTTGCGTCTGTCTCGTAATTTGTCTCTCTGTGGGAGGGGCCAGTCCTCCTCTAAAAAAGGAAGTTGTCCCTCAGTATTTTGGGTCTGGCTAGCTGTTGCCGTTTCAAGATTAAGGGTGTCTGAAAAGTAACGTTCCGAGTCTTAAGGATGCCTCTATTTCTATAAGGTTGTGAATAAGTTTTCTTTTGATCTTTTCTAGAGGTACTAGAGTCCGAATCGGACCAATCAGTATTCCCAGATGTAGAACTGTTCCTACTGTTGTAATATTTTTTAGCTCTTTTAGTTCGAAAGATATTGCCTTCCTGAAAGTCTCTGTGGTCTCTTAGGTACTTCTCGTGTTTCTTTTCCCTAACATGTTTCTTAAATCCTTCTAAATTTTTCTGTAACTTATTTTCAAGAAGGGAGAATTCTGATCTATCTTTAAAATTTTTAACATTAACCAGTTCCTTTTCAAGATTTTTATTTACCATGTCCAAATTGTTTGTTTCTAATTTAACCAGGAACTGCATAAGTTTGGCCGAACAATCAAGAAGGATGCTATTCCATTCTTTTATTTGTTCATCTGTGATGGCTTTTTCATATATATATATGTATCTTCATACCCATCATCTAATGTTCCTCCAATTTGGAGACCAGCATGCTAGGTGTACAATTGATCTTACCGCCTCTGAACCATATCGGCTATTTTTATTACTTCAGTATTATTCCTATGGGCATTTTTCTCCATTTTGGAGACTAGTCTGTTAGGTTATCTTGCCGTCTCTGAACTATATCGGTACCTTTATTTTCAGAGTCTAGCTAATATATATACTACGATCTCTGTGTTATTTCTGATATATTTTTTTGTGTTGTTTTTAACTAATTATTACCAATAAAATTGTTTATTATTTTTTGGACCCTGTGGTCCCTTCTATATGAACCTGAATTCTACACACTTGGTGTTGTAGTCTCAGGCCCTGGCTAATCCTTTCCCTACCTTAAAGGTACACACTTCTTTTGTTTTGCATACATGTTATTTTATATTTATTTATTGTTTTAATAAATTGAAGTTAGTTTTTGGACCCCTGGATTTATTCATTACAGATGGGAGTGCAGTCCCAAACTGCACAGAACGTGTGAATTGAGTCATAGGTTTGACTCCAACCTTGTGAGTACCCACTTGGGAATTTTTATTACACTTTGATTATACACCAACGATACTGCGCAATCGCTTTCCGTTTCTGCTTATCCCCCAGGACAAGATACATTCCATCTTCATAATAGGGGAGGATCGCCTAAACGGATCCGCATGCCATTTTAACCGGAGCTAGGTTTATAGCTCCCTGTTTGTGAGTGAATTTTACCAATTTATTGTAATATATTATTGTAGTATTATACCATCTACACTATATTGGATTATTTGTTGTTGTAGGTATTCGACACATCGATTGCTCAAGTTTTTCCGTCTCTTCAATGTTACCATAAGGTGATAACTTATTGTTTTAAACATAAGCGCTACATTCTTTTGTATTTCATATATTCTATTTGCAAGTTTGGAAGGTTTTTTGCTTGAGTGTCTAGCAGCTAATTCTTGTTATAATTCAATTTGGATATACTATCCTGTATATTAATATATATAAGCGCTGGTTCTTATCTTAAAGAATACATAATCCGACTCGAGGTATCCTAATGGAGGAATAGGTCTTGGTTCCAAGCCTGACATGAGTCCTATTTGATGTGATATAGGTATATTACACTAAATCTCCTTTCCTCCAGTCTAAATGCGTGGCCTTGTTCTTATGTATTGTCCTGTTTACAGATTTACAGACAAAGGTCTATATTGGCCCCAAATATATTTGAATAATGCTATCATCTCAGATTTTCTAAACTAAACTTATTTAATTTTGTTAACCTTTCTTCGTAACTAAAATGCAGCTGTGGGTCAACAGAGGAGGAGGGACAGCAGCTCTGTATAGTTTGTATAGTTTGTGCATACTGTGAGTGACCACCCGCTGAGCCAGCATGTCTACATGTTTCTACTAAACAAAGGGCTGTGTGGATGCAACCAGAGATTGTTCTGATGGGACAGTGGGTCCAGTGAAGATAACCATTTGATGTCAGAGTGGACTTGCACATAGTGGGGGGTGGAGAACTAGTGTAATGAATCACTTTGTAGATCGTTCTTTCCTGTGTCTTCTATTTGCCCTGTTCTGTATTCCCATTGGTGAAAGTGTTTGTGCAACGTTTGTTTACTGTTTGCTGTGATCTAAGATATTTCAAAATAAACCGTTATTTTGAGTTGCCAAAAAAGAAGCTTGTTGTCTCTTCCTTGAGATCTCACAAAATATTGCCACAGAGTAATTACTAATAAGAGAATTGGCAGAGGATTTGATGGCTAGAAGGTCATAGAGTAGCGAGATTTCTGCGCAGTATTTAGTGGAGCAGTTAGTGGTACAGATTATGTAAAAAGAAACCGATGGTAGTGTTGCCCAAACTGGTACACTTACCAGAGATGCCAGAGCCGCATCGTTACTGTGTGTTCTTACCATTGATTTATAAAGATGCAGAATGAGAATGACCATATCTTACCGGCCCTGGCATCTGCCGATTGACATTGCTGCTTGACAATGCCCTTTCTACCATTTCAGTGCCCATTCCCCCAATCTATCCAATTCCCTCTGCAGCAAAAATAATATCCTGCTCACATTGAATTATTTTACAGAGTTTTGTGTCATCTGAAAAGGCCACCACCTCTTAATTCACAATATCCTACATCCTTATTGTTCTAACTGTAAGAAACTATTTCTTTTGCCTTACACTAAATCTAATTTCTTCCAGTCTAAAAATGTGGCCTACACGGAAACATGACGTTCAATGCAGATTTTAAGATCATTCATAAATATCAACATTAGGTGGTTTGTAAGATGTCCCACGTTATCCTTGTCAGATTCCACTTGCCTAATATTTAGCTTTAACACATGGTTGACATAAAAAAATAACCAACCACCCTCCCTGTTTTTCTATCATTCCTAAGTAATGTGTACCCATTCAGGGTTAACTGTCAAGTCATGTGTTTTATCCCATCATGTTTCTGTTATGCTTAATATCTAATATTGCTTAGTGTATGCTATTACCCGTAGTTACCCTTGTACCAAAGCAAAAAAATCCTCCTTCCTGCACCCTGACTTAGCCACACATTAACCTTCATAATCTCCTGCTGCCTTTCTACTGTAGCGCTTGGCGCAGGCAATATAGATAATATTACTGTAAATACTACCTTTTCTTCAGTTTACATCCTAATTCCCTGAACTCATTCTTTAGGATCTTCCATTTTTTCCATTCACGCGTGCATACATGTTACAATATATGGAGCCCGGAGAGATTCATTCAGGCGTGCAGACATGTTACAATATATGGAGCCTGGAGAGATTCATTCAGGCGTGCATACATGTTACAATATATGGAGCCCGGAGAGATTCATTCAGGCGTGCAGACATGTTACAATATATGGAGCCCGGAGAGATTCATTCAGGCGTGCATACATGTTACAATATATGGAGCCCGGAGAGATTCATTCAGGCGTGCAGACATGTTACAATATATGGAGCCTGGGGAGATTCATTCAGGCGTGCAGACATGTTACAATATATGGAGCCCGGAGAGATTCATTCAGGCGTGCATACATGTTACAATATATGGAGCCCGGAGAGATTCATTCAGGCGTGCATACATGTTACAATATATGGAGCCCGGAGAGATTCATTCAGGCGTGCAGACATGTTACAATATATGGAGCCCGGAGAGATTCATTCAGGCGTGCAGACATGTTACAATATATGGAGCCCGGAGAGATTCATTCAGGCGTGCAGACATGTTACAATATATGGAGCCCGGAGAGATTCATTCAGGCGTGCAGACATGTTACAATATATGGAGCCCGGAGAGATTCATTCAGGCGTGCATACATGTTACAATATATGGAGCCCGGAGAGATTCATTCAGGCGTGCATACATGTTACAATATATGGAGCCCGGAGAGATTCATTCAGGCGTGCATACATGTTACAATATATGGAGCCCGGAGAGATTCATTCAGGCGTGCATACATGTTACAATATATGGAGCCTGGAGAGATTCATTCAGGCGTGCATACATGTTACAATATATGGAGCCCGGAGAGATTCATTCAGGCGTGCATACATGTTACAATATATGGAGCCTGGAGAGATTCATTCAGGCGTGCATACATGTTACAATATATGGAGCCTGGAGAGATTCATTCACGCGTGCATACATGTTACAATATATGGAGCCCGGAGAGATTCATTCAGGCGTGCATACATGTTACAATATATGGAGCCCGGAGAGATTCATTCAGGCGTGCAGACATGTTACAATATATGGAGCCCGGAGAGATTCATTCAGGCGTGCAGACATGTTACAATATATGGAGCCTGGGGAGATTCATTCAGGCGTGCATACATGTTACAATATATGGAGCCCGGAGAGATTCATTCAGGCGTGCAGACATGTTACAATATATGGAGCCTGGAGAGATTCATTCAGGCGTGCATACATGTTACAATATATGGAGCCCGGAGAGATTCATTCAGGCGTGCATACATGTTACAATATATGGAGCCCGAGAGATTCACCAGGCGTATGCATATATATAATATATGGAGCCCGGAGATTCATTCAGGCTTGCAGACATGTTACAATATATGGAGCCTGGGAGATCTATTTGTATGTATACATGTTACAATATATGGATTCGAGAGATTCATTCAGGGCGTGCGAGACATGTTAATATATGGAGCCTGGAGAGATTCATTCAGGCGCAAATATATGGTTCTTGAGAGACTATTCAGCGCAGATGTTACAATATATGGAGCCCGGAGAGATTCATTCAGGCGTGCAGACATGTTACAATATATGGAGCCTGGAGAGATTCATTCAGGCGTGCATACATGTTACAATATATGGAGCCCGGAGAGATTCATTCAGGCGTGCAGACATGTTACAATATATGGAGCCCGGAGAGATTCATTCAGGCGTGCAGACATGTTAAAATATATGGAGCCCGGAGAGATTCATTCAGGCGTGCAGACATGTTACAATATATAGAGCCTGTTGAGATTCATTCAGGCGTGCATACATGTTACAATATATGCAGCCCGGAGAGATTCATTCAGGCGTGCATACATGTTACAATATATGGAGCCTGGAGAGATTCATTCACGCGTGCATACATGTTACAATATATGGAGCCCGGAGAGATTCATTCAGGCGTGCATACATGTTACAATATATGGAGCCCGGAGAGATTCATTCAGGCGTGCATACATGTTACAATATATGGAGCCCGGAGAGATTCATTCAGGCGTGCATACATGTTACAATATATGGAGCCCGGAGGAACAAATTTCACGCGTGCATACATGTTACAATATATGGAGCCCGGAGAGATTCATTCAGGCGTGCATACATGTTACAATATATGGAGCCCGGAGAGATTCATTCAGGCGTGCATACATGTTACAATATATGGAGCCTGGAGAGATTCATTCAGGCGTGCATACATGTTACAATATATGGAGCCCGGAGAGATTCATTCAGGCGTGCATACATGTTACAATATATGGAGCCTGGAGAGATTCATTCAGGCGTGCATACATGTTACAATATATGGAGCCCGGAGAGATTCATTCAGGCGTGCATACATGTTACAATATATGGAGCCTGGAGAGATTCATTCAGGCGTGCATACATGTTACAATATATGGAGCCCGGAGAGATTCATTCAGGCGTGCATACATGTTACAATATATGGAGCCCGGAGAGATTCATTCAGGCGTGCATACATGTTACAATATATGGAGCCCGGAGAGATTCATTCAGGCGTGCAGACATGTTACAATATATGGAGCCCGGAGAGATTCATTCAGGCGTGCATACATGTTACAATATATGGAGCCCGGAGAGATTCATTCAGGCGTGCATACATGTTACAATATATGGAGCCCGGAGAGATTCATTCAGGCGTGCATACATGTTACAATATATGGAGCCCGGAGAGATTCATTCAGGCGTGCATACATTTTACAATATATGGAGCCCGGAGAGATTCATTCAGGAGTGCAGACATGTTACAATATATGGAGCCCGGAGAGATTCATTCATGCGTGCATATATGTTAAAATATATGGAGCCCGGAGAGATTCATTCAGGCGTGCATACATGTTACAATATATGGAGCCCGGAGAGATTCATTCAGGCGTGCAGACATGTTACAATATATGGAGCCCGGAGAGATTCATTCAGGCGTGCAGACATGTTACAATATATGGAGCCCGGAGAGATTCATTCAGGCGTGCAGACATGTTACAATATATGGAGCCTGGGGAGATTCATTCAGGCGTGCATACATGTTACAATATATGGAGCCCGGAGAGATTCATTCAGGCGTGCAGACATGTTACAATATATGGAGCCTGGAGAGATTCATTCAGGCGTGCAGACATGTTACAATATATGGAGCCCGGAGAGATTCATTCAGGCGTGCAGACATGTTACAATATATGGAGCCCGGAGAGATTCATTCAGGCGTGCATACATGTTACAATATATGGCGATATGGAGCCCGGAGAGATTCATTCAGGAGTGCAGACATGTTACAATATGTCAAACCTGCGATCCTGCTAACACCAATTCCAACAGTTAACAAAAACAGCAAAACTATTTTTTTTTACCCGATTGGTTTAAACTCCTGTTTTTGAACTCCTACTTAAAGAGCAAGTCTAAGTGAGCAAGCTCAGTGACTCAGTTGTGGGTGTAAAATCCAAAAACCTAGGTGGAAATTGTGACGAGACCAATCTCGCCACATTGCATTGGAGAAGCCTGGTTGCTCGCCTGCTGCCTTTGGACTATGGCCCCCTTTTAAAAGACTTTATTTTTGCATGCAGAAAAGCTGTATTCGTGCTTTTCTGCCGGTTGTTCGGTAGTTCAATCTACCGAACAACCGTACGAATGACTGGACCACCTGGGAGCTGGAGTGTGCCGGCAATTAACCTCCCTGAAGCTGCGGTTAACCGCAGCTTAATTGATGAACGCTGGGTGGCCGCCGTTCGTATCCCGAACACGAGGTCGCTGCCATTTTAAACCATACGAATGAACAGCGGTGTTCGCCTCTATTTTCATGGAACTAAAATCGGACACAGTTTTGCGCGAACACCGCTGAAGCCGCCGACCTCCCTTCTTGTTCGGTGAAAGCACACGAATGACCCGGTGTTCGGTATTTTTGTGTGAGTGTCTATACCCCAGATAGGAATCCCATGGAGCCCATTCGTATGAAACTGACTGTAAAGACTTTGGCTCCATGGCGATTGAACTGTATTCGTGTAGTCTGAGTGCCATTCACTTAATAATGTGCACTCAGACCTGAGCTATCTGGGGATATGTTACATGTCTATGGTTTATGTAGTAAATGTTACTTTGTGCATTTTAAAGTGTTATGCTGGTTTTGTGTTCCCACGTGTGTAATGGAGTTTTGCCTTTGTCTTGGGAGATCATTGAGTTACTTCCCAATTATCTCCCAGGGCAGAGGGGAGGAAGCCAGGATGCATTGTGGGAATATACTGTGACTGTGTGTCCTATTTGTCTACTTGTCTGTCCTTTGTCACAGTCTCCCATTTGGTCCCCTAGGGGAGTGTCCACCAGGTGGGAGACCTGCATAAAAGCTGGGCAGGTAGCCCTCATTAAACAGACCACTGCTTGACCCTTGTCTCGTCTTTGGGGGGATTTACTGTATGCTGCTAAGGACTGATTGCCAGGAGTGTAAGCCGCTTGGAAGCTTTTCCTGTTCGCCTGCTAGCAGCTATTCGTATGGTTCCTGTTCGCTTATTTGAAGTGCTACCTTATTCCCTTGTATGCCGTTCGGGAGTTTGGAGCATTCACTTATTGGCGGTTCGTGAGTTTTGGTGATTATTCAGTAGCTGTGCCTGTCTCTGAAAGGGGGATTATCGTCTAAGCGTTTTTTTCCCCTTTTATGCTAAACGGTCCGTTACAGAAATGAATGGATTAGTTAATTCAGTAGCTGCTTTTTATAACTTTCAAGGCTAATGAAAATAAAGGGACGGAGAATTGTGGGGATGGCAATAATTAATGGATGGTGGTCAATTGTTTGCTTGCATTTTCTACTCAAAACAGGCATTAATGCATATTTGGATTATTGTATAAAAGCCAAACACTATATTTTAAGAAAAGACATATAGGCATGTTCTTGACTTTCTGCCTCAATGCGAACCAATAATGTAACACAGGTTCCTGGAGGCCTTAAAGGACACATCGGCCGAGCAGTAACAAAGTAGCTGAGGAAGAGGGAGCCTTTGGAACTCTGGCTAAAACATGTTTCACATCATAATCCACTTCAGGAAAGGTAAACCCAAAGCAAACAATGGAAATAAATAGCAGAAAGAGATACATTGTTTGTTTCAGTTGGAAAGATGGAGGCGGCTCTCTCTATACTGACTGCCAGGTGTAATGGGCGGAGCTTATAACAATGACTGACAGGGAGCTAAGATGGAGGCGGCTCTCTCTATACTGACTGCCAGGTGTAAAGGGCGGAGCTTATCACAATGATTGACAGGGAGCTAAGATGGAGGTGGCTCTCTCTCTACTGACTGCCAGGTGTAAAGGGCGGAGCTTATAACAATGACTGACAGGGAGCTAAGATGGAGGTGGATCTCTCTATACTGACTGCCGGGTGTAAAGGGCGGAGCGTATAACAATGATTGACATGGAGCTAAGATGGAGGTGGCTCTCTCTATACTGACTGCCAGGTGTAAAGGGCGGAGCTTATAACAATGACTGACAGGGAGCTAAGATGGAGGTGGATCTCTCTATACTGACTGCCAGGTGTAAAGGGCGGAGCTTATCACAATGATTGACAGGGAGCTAAGATGGAGGTGGCTCTCTCTATACTGACTGCCAGGTGTAATGGGCGGAGCTTATAACAATGACTGACAGGGAGCTAATATGGAGGTGGCTCTCTCTATACTGACTGCCAGGTGTAAAGGGCGGAGCTTATAACAATGATTGACAGGGAGCTAAGATGGAGGCGGCTCTCTCTATACTGACTGCCAGGTGTAAAGGGTGGAGCTTATAACAATGATTGACAGGGAGCTAAGATGGAGGCTGCTCTCTCTATACTGACTGCCAGGTGTAAAGGGCGGAGCTTATAACAATGATTGACAGGGATCTAAGATGGAGGCGGCTCTCTATACTGACTGCCAGGTGTAAGGGGCGGAGCTTATAACAATGATTGACAGGGAGCTAAGATGGAGGTGGCTCTCTCTATACTGACTGCCAGGTGTAAGGGGCGGAGCTTATAACAATGATTGACAGGGAGCTAAGATGGAGGCGGCTCTCTCTATACCGACTGCCAGGTGTAAAGGGCGGAGCTTATAACAATGATTGACAGGGAGCTAAGATGGAGGCGGCTCTCTCTATACTGACTGCCAGGTGTAAAGGGCGGAGCTTATAACAATGATTGACAGGGAGCTAAGATGGAGGCTGCTCTCTCTATACTGACTGCCAGGTGTAAAGGGCGGAGCTTATAACAATGATTGACAGGGAGCTAAGATGGAGGCTGCTCTCTCTATACTGACTGCCAGGTGTAAAGGGCGGAGCTTATAACAATGATTGACAGGGAGCTAAGATGGAGGCGGCTCTCTCTATACTGACTGACAGGTGTAATGGGTGGAGCTTATAACAATGATGGAGGCACTCTGCTGCAGGATAAAGAGCTGTGGATATCCACATTTCATTTTATATTACACACCTCACAAATACATATGTGTTTAACATAGGGGATAAGTAAATATAATGTTAAAACTCATGGCAGTTCCAGTTCCCCTTTAATACATTTAATATCACCATATCTGTTTGGTCATAGGATGAAGTAAAACAGTTCTACGGAGGTGAAATGATCCATCCAGCTATTGTACAATGACCCGTTTGCTATACTTTACTTTCATACACTGTGAAACCATATCCATTATCCAATATTCCATTCCAAGCTCTGACCAACCTTGCTTTAATACACTCATTGTTCGTTTTTTTGTTTTTTGTTTTTTTTTAAATCCTATTATACTAAAATACTACTTATCACCGTTAAAGGACCACTATAGTGCCAGGAAAACATACTCGTTTTCCTGGCACTATAGTGCCCTGAGGGTGCCCCCACCCGCAGGGCCCCCCTCCCGCCGGGCTCTGGGGAGAGGGAAGGGGTTAAAATCTTACCTTTCTCCAGGGGCGGGCGGGAAGCTCTCCTCCGTAGCGACGTCATCGGTTGAATGCGCATGCGCGGAAGTAGCCGCGCACACATTCAGCCACTTCATGGGAAAGCATTTTTAATTTGTTCCTATGGACATTCAGTGTCTTCTCACTGTGATTTTCACAGTGCGAAGCACATAAGCGCCTCTAGCGGCTGTCAAGAGACAGCCACCAGAGGCTGGATTAACCATATTATAAACATAGCAGTTTCTCTGGACCTGGAACCCAGACCACTTCATTAAACTGAAGTGGTCTGGGTGCCTATAGTGGTCCTTTAAGTGATATTTTACAAATAAGTCAAATCATTATTTATTCAGTACTATATATCTGGGCTTTTAATGCAAATAGCCTAGTTATAAATCACTGTTATTCCATTATGGGCGATTTCGATTTTTATATCTGGGCATGGGATATCTGGTATCTAGCACAGTGGGCTGTAGTGCGGTATGTGGAAAAGTTCAGGCTATTAACCCTAAATTCTTCTGATTTCTAACAAAATTAAACCTGTGAATGGTTATTCTATGGGGGAGAAAAAAAAGCCATCTCTGCTTATCTACAAATACTCATGAAGTGTATGGGTGGTGTCTCACCTTTTTCACCACTTGGGGTCCACACACCCATGCACATAATAAGATTTATTACATGGACATTATTGCATTCTCTGATCTACATAATGACTACGTTGCAAGAAAATGTGATTGGATATACAATAATTTTTAGCCAAAAACGAAACAATTGAGGCAGAATAGCTTTATTTTATATAAAATAAGACAATTAGACAATTATAAAAATAAACAATAAATACACTGAGCTCTCTTGAAACCACAATTACAGGAAACCTGCATTGACCAATATATACAATAAATGTAAGAAACTTACAATGCTCAAATAAATAATAAATACAACAAATATCCCCATTTTAATATGAGCAAAACGAGCAGGCCCCTGTAATGCCGGCCTGCTGGGAGGAAGTGACATACTGTCACTTCCTCCCAGCATCCTGCAGGGAGACAGCGAGGGAGGGGAGGCAGCCGCAGCATGAGGGGAGAGGAGCAGGAAGAGTTCCAGACCCCTTCACGCCACCCTCCTGGACACACAAGGTAAGCTGACAAATGGGTGGCTAAAGATATAAAAAATATCACCTGTGTGTGAGTGTGTAGATATATGTCAGTGTGCTTCTGTGTCTGTGTGTGTGCGCACACATCTGTGTGTGGTTTTTTATGTCAGTGTGTGTGTATATCTGTGTCATGGTATGGGCATGTATCAATGTTTGTGTGTGTGTGTCAGGGTGCATGTGTGTATGTGTATCTATATGTGTATCTATATGTGTTGGTGTCTATATAAATTTGTGTGTATGTGTCGGTGTATTTAAATGCATCTGTGCATTAAAGGACCACTATAGGCACCCAGACCACTTCAGCTTAATGAAGTGGTTTGGGTGCCAGGTCCAGCTAGGGTTAACCCTTTTTTCTATAAACATAGTTTCAGAGAAACTGCTATGTTTATGTTTGGGTTAATCCAGCCTCTAGTGGCTGTCTCTTGACAGCCGCTAGAGGCGCTTGCATGATTCTCACTGTGATTTTCACAGTGAGAAGATGCCAGCGTCCATAGGAAAGCATTCATTGTTCTCACCATGTGCTTCATCCATTGTTCTCACCATGTGCTTCATCCATTGTTCTCACCAAGTGCTTCATCCATTGTTCTCACCATGTGCCTCTGATACATGAAATGGTGGCCACCCAGTAACCCCACAGTTTGTCTGGTAGTCTATCCTGCCGGACCAACAGATGAGACACATGGGGAACAGTGCAACAAACGAAGGGAATCATAAAAAATATGGACAATAGTCATATTTGTGCACAATCTCCAGTTTTGTCACAGGGCACAAATAGTGTTTTCAAATGTCATATATCCCAGGGCCATAGTCAGAAGGTAGGAGGCGGGCAAGCAGCCCCCTCCAAGAGCACGTGGCGAGGTCTGTTCCGCCACAATAACTAGTTTGTGACTGGTCCAATGCAAACAAACATATTAAACTTTGTTGGCCAAGATTTAAAAAAAAATCTAATTTTAGTAGATCCATTTAATAATGTTGTAGGGGTAACTTGTGCTTGTTTATCATCTGGCTTTACCACCTATATGCTAGGGAACTCTGTGCATTATTTAACCTAAGATGTTTAAAATCATAAAACACCTTACAATGATATGACATCAGCTAAATGTGAAATGTCAGCTTGAATGCAATTGGCATTTCCCATTTAGTAGCCAGGGCCGATCACTGCACAACCCAATAATATTCAGAGACTTGAAGAACTCACCTGCGAAACCTAATGATCTGTGAATCAGTTTGTTTTCTCTTTAGAACATGTTTGTGTATATTGAACAATATGTTTTATATAACTTTGTTTTCAGTGGCTCAGTAATAGTGAATTATAAAAACAACAGCACTCCTCCATAACAGCATTTCAATTCTCTACAGGAAATACAAGTGCGGAAGTGAAAGGAAAACATTAAATTAGAGCAATATTAATGACATCAGGGCTCGCAAAGGAATAGACCTTAGTCTAAGATTTCAAGGACTTTTACCTAAAATATTAAATGGTTTATTTATGCATCTATTTCATTATTCATGTATAGGGTGAATTTGTATTTTGTTTTCTCTATCACCTTGTTTGTATTTGTCGTTTTTTTTCTTTGTGCCATAATTTGGATTCCTTTGTCCACAATGTCTGCAGTTTGCCCTTGGGTGGGTATTTTGACCTATGCATCGAGTGTAAACTAATTCACAACTACGAGATTGTTTGCAACTATATCCCTACGTTTAACCAGCCAGCTGCTGCTCACTAAAATGCTTTTTTTTCTGTAGTTGGAAAGTAGTGGTTTATTACGGCCTATAACATTTTAACATTAACTGTAATAATCTGTAGCCACTAACTGAAAGGGTTAATGTTGTAATGGACTCTAATCCCCTCGGTTCTCAATCCCTCGGTCACCATAATCAAAGTTGATGGAGAATCATTGTCAGCAAGAAGACACGGACAACAGCTTTACAAGACTCTCAAATGAGTGTATTCCAGAGCTGGCTTTTATACATAGTTTGCTTACATTAGCCATGGTATATGCAAATACAGTACAGACTATAAGATTTATTACTTCCTTATATTACGTTATTCTGACAATGGAAAGATAAGCTTTTGCATACGTCTGGAAAAGAATATCCTTAAAATCGGAATGGGCAAGACATCCTGAAATTTAGCATTGTCTTACATCCTATAGAAGAAATACCTTAGTCTGTCACAGTCAGCATATTATGTCGTACATTGAGTTTAACTATTTCATATCCTTTCAGTCAGCAATAATATTTATAAACCTTATAAATGCATAAAATACATATGAACAAGGAAACTATTTCATATTTCTTACACTAACATATACAGGCTTAGTTTATAGCAGCTACTTAACAACAAGATTGTAAACAAGTCCAAAAATGGAAGTTTGCTTAAAAGAATGTCCTAAACGCCTATAGCACTTCAGTTGTCGAAGTGCTTTATGTGTGAAGTGTGTCCTCTTACAAAAAGTGCAGATCTCATTTGAAACTTTTATACATTAACCTTGGCAATACCTGCCAACATTTCAGGAGGGACACTTTCATTTTAGGAGTGCAAGTGGGGGTGAGGCCAGGGGCGAGACTGTTCTGAAACATTTTAAGTGACTAATAATTTTGGCATTTTAAATGTAATTTGGAGGAACAATTACATTAATTTACACAGTCTGATTTCTGAACACTTTTATTATAATTTAAAGATACATTACTGTGAGTTTTATTGATGTAGAGCTCTGTTACACACTGAGACAATATTTAGTTTCAAAAACAAAAAGAGGGACAGAGGAATTTGGGGATCAAATAGGAACTGTTCCTCCTAAATAGGGACACTTAGGAGGTATGCCCCTGGCTGTCAGTTCAACATCCAGTCCTGTTACTTTTTAGTAGCTCAATGGAGCTAAACTCAAGAATGAAAAAATAGTTTAATGCATTCATGTTTTCATCAGAGATATATCTTCTAAATAGTGTCTTTTTATTTTTATTTAATTTTTTTGCATTTGGGTAGTAGTGTGCTTTTAAGTTCCATCCATTGCCAAAGATCACACTACCCATAGGAAAAAGTAATCCCTACATGTTCTTATGAATAAATATGACTATCAAAACAATGCAAATAAAGAAACTTATAGGGACAAAAAAAAGATTAATTAAAAAATAAAACCGGCAAAGTGATCAAGCCACATATGCAAGTTAGGTAGTTAAGCACTATTATTATTTATTATTATTATTACTGCCATTTATATACTAATACCTGCCTCCCAACCTCCCTGAGTTCATCAGGACACTTCTGATTTTTGGGCCTTAGTTCCCTGCTTTCCCACTTTGGAGGTCACCAGGGAACTGTCTTCAACATGCACTGCTCAAGTTCATCGTAAGACATGCTCTCATTATGTTTAGGGCATTCAATGTAAAGGTGAATTTATTTTTAATTGGAACAAGGCAGGAGTGTCCTCTGTCCCCTCTCCTCTTTGTCTTAACCATGGAACGTACTTTTTATTGTTTACATTTATAATAACTACTGTCTTTCTTGTACTTTTAATTTACTGCCTAATAAATCTATTTTTAAAAATAATATCGCTTATCGTCCTGGTAATTTAAATTTTTTTAAATTTTATTTTTATATTCTTCTATTATGCAAAATATTGTCAAAATAGGGGATTATATCCGTTAATGGTTCTTGGTTTTATTTTATTTTTTAAATTCTTTATTTTTCATTCAATAAACATAACAGGTGTACATTCACTTTTGGGCTTACACAGAAGCCAACTGAAATACAAGGCTTGGAAACAGAATGCAGTTCAACATGCGATACATGCCCATTCCTTAAAAAACCATTGGCACCTGCCGTCTACTGAGGAATTTTATTTTAAACAAAGACAGGCATTTAGGCGATGCAAGTAGCCCATTTTATTCAATAACCATTCTTGTTCATGTGCTACCTTGTATGGTTCTTGGTTTTAAAGCACCCTATTTCTTAAAACATGTCTCAACATGCCCTTTGTGCAGTTCCTGGTTTCATGCACACCATTCACTACAGTCTACAAAACAAACATGTCTAAACATGCCCAAGGTGTCTGTAAATACGCAAAAGGCTTGGTTTACACCGCGCAAGCTGTGCACTCCTACAATATTGTCCCTATGGATTATATGACCCCACTACATCAGAGGTTGGACTGCTCATGCGCTGCGTGACTTGGTTCAGAGGAGGCCACGCATGCGCAGTGGGTGCACACATTGTGGGTATGGTTGCGTAGCAGGGGAGTGGTTCAGAGGGTCGCACATGCGCAGTGGGTGTGGTAACATCCACTGTGGGTGTGGTTTCAGGAGAAAGGGGTGGGGAACCTGTCAAATTCTAGTTTGATGACATATATAGATTCCTACTACTTCTATATGTTGGATGTGGATGTCCACTTCACAAATCCTCCTGACTGTGGGCTCTACATTCATCCCTGTGTGAGGATGATATTTGCTCCTTCTATTGCCAATATTCTAGTTTTTGTGGGAACCAGACAAAAAAAGTATAATCTATTAAAATAAAAACCAAAAAACAATAATGTAATAAAAATGGGCTTTCAATTTGTTGCATGGATTAGTGACCAATTTTCACAAATAACAAACATAGTATGAGACATGTGGCGGATTGGATAAAAAATTTAAATTATGTTATTCTGGATCAAGATCTAGCGCTTAGAACTCTGTAATCCATCACCAATGGATATTGATTGATATGGGGGCCGAGCATCGCTGCAAAATGGTGAGTTGAAGTGGATATGGTCATTATGGTGAAATCTCAAGGTATCTTTTTGTCACGTATTTATCCGCACATAAAAATGTGATTAATGGCATTTACTGTTCTGACAGGAAAAGTTGTGCCGAGCAACATTACTGTCTGACAAGAAAAGTTGTGCTGAGCAGCAATCAAATCCACAGGAGGGTTTGTGCTGAGCAGAAATTATGCAAATGGAAACCTGGTAACTGCCTTTGGGGTCAAAGGCCGGTTACAACCAATCCGCTCCACAGGCCGGGTATTTAGGCCCAGTTCTCCTCTTGCTCAGTGCCCTGTCGTGGTTTCCCCTGTGGTTGTCCGAGAGCGCGTTATTGATTCTGGTTATTTTGGTTATTTGACTTTGGCATAGTTTTTGCCTTCCCTGTTTTCTGGCATCCCTGACTCCTGGCTTTTCCTTATCGTTGTGTCTCTTTCTGTATCCCTTGACCTCGGCTATTCCTGACTATTCTTTGGTACGTTAGTCCGGCCATTCTAAGGTCTGGTATACGTTACCTCTGTGTTATACAATTCTACATGCTGGATCATACTGTAATCCTGACACTTTTTTGTTAAAAAATATTTAATAAGGAAATATGTAAAAAAAAAAAAAAAAAGTGAGTTTTTGAACCCAGTATTCCCTGCTATGAGCAGAAATAAGACTATGCACAGAGAATTTTGACGATTGTTGAACTCTTGCAATGCTGGGTTAAAAATGTTAAACGGTTCAGATTTCATAAAATGTGAATAATCAGGAATTTCAATTAAACGACAGACATTTTTTGTGACCTAACATTTGAAATTCACTAGAACCTCCTTAATGAAAGCCCCAAAGTGTCCGATTTTATGGTATGAACGTGATGATGCGAATGACATTGGAACTCTAATTGGAATCCCAGGTGAAGCCGAACAAAGCTTGTCACAGGTCGCATAGACAATAATTCCAACAACCTAAACACTGTATTAACTACAATAAACAATCCACCCTTTTCTCTATACATAGACAGGCATTTAGGACTGTATAAAAACAATGTAACAATATTCCAATGAATCGCATTCGTAGTATAAAATGATAAGTCTTTTAGAAAGAAGGTCCTAAATGACTGTCAATGTATAGAGAAAAGGGTGAATTTATTGATTGAAATAGTTTCGCAATTTTGTTTCTCTTAGTTTTAAAAGTATTTTTTAAATTACCTTCATGCTCTCCACTGACATATAAGCTTATTTTAAATACAGCATTAACTGAGTGCAGGTCTGCAGGATATGAAAACCAGCTTCTGCTTCCTTCCTGCCTTCAAACCACAAACCTTCATGATTTCGTTTGCACTCAAAGGGTTTATTTCTCATCACAAGCTGAGCCACTATCGGCCAGGCTGTGCCCATCGTGGAACATCCTCCATGTGAGAACATTCAGGCTGTGCCCTTCGATTGGACTCTTTACAACTGTATTCATCTGGCAGATTATCTCTGTGCCCATGCTTTTCACTCTTTGAGTTGGTATCAGTGTGACCTTTCACTCAGCAGTTGTGGACATACCAGCTGTGATTGTGTGGGGGACATTCTCAACCTCTGGTCTAGCCTATTGAACTCTTAGCATCCTTCCAGTGTGGTGAACCCTCTTATTTATAATGTTTTTTCAGAGTGGTGGACCCTCTCCCCGTAGCTGGCTCTGAGTGGTGGACTCTCTCCAGAGCTTGCTCTTAGTGGTGGACTCTCCTCGTAGCTGGCTCAGAGTGGTGGACTCTCTCTCCATAGCTGGCTCAGAGTGGTGGACTCTCTCTCCATAGCTGGCTCATAGTGGTGGACTCTCCCCGTGGTTGGCTCAGAGTGGTGGACTCTCTCTCCATAGCTGGCTCAGAGTGGTGGACCCTCTCTCTGTAGCTTTCTCTGAGTGGTGGACTCTCCGCGTAGCTGGCTCAGAGTGGTGGAATCTCAGCATCTGGCTCAGAGTGGTGGACCCTCTCTCCGTAGCTTTCTCTGAGTGGTAGACACTCTCCGAAGCTTGCTCTTAGTGGTGGACTCTCCGCGTAGCTGGCTCAGAGTGGTGGAATCTCAGAATCTGGCTCAGAGTGGTGGATTGCTTAACACCTTTTTCAGATTTTCTTTGTTTGATGAAGATGCTGAATTTTCTCGTACACTATGTTTTATTTGCACTGTTACAGTTTGAAGGTAAATATTATTTGTATCTATATGTGTTTCTGCCCTCTCGGCCTGTTTATTTTGTTGGATTACTTCTTGCAGGATTGGATGTTTCATTAGCTTACAACGTGGAGGTTACACCAAAGAATACGTTCAATTCCACTCCTGGAGACCTCTTTGGTTACAGAGTGAAACAGTTTAATTCATCAAAAGGAGAGAGGTGAGCTGTGTGTGTATGTGTGCACAATCTGTGTGTGTTATATGAGCTATGTGGGTGTGTGTGTGTATGTGTGAGCTACTGTATGTATGTGTGTGAACTATGCGTATGTGTGTGTGAGCTCTATGTATGTGTGTGAGCTATGTGTGTGTGTGAGCTATGCGTATTTGTGTGTGTGTGAGCTCTATGTATGTGTGTGAGCTATGTGTGTGTGAGCTACTGTGTGTGAGCTATGGATAGTGTGTGTGTGTGGATGTCACGGAGCAAGAGTGTTGTGTGAGAAGAATAGAAACATAGGAATGAACCATGAGTTATGGGAAAGTTACACCATTGAGGGGTTCTGGAGGTAACATAATACAACACATGAGCCAGGGTGGACATGTTTGCTTGATTGCTTTTTAGAGGGTTAGATCCTACACACAGTTGTACAGGTAATTGGTATCTGTGTGTGTTTTGCTATTTTCTTATCTTGTTTTATTCCGACTCCTCAGGATCATAGTGGGAGACCCAGGGTCGGGACAACTGCACCTATGTGACATCACCAGAGAATCATGTGATGTCATCAAGCCTCCAAGTAACAAGCCCAGAATGTTCATTACTGCTCTCAGTCTGTGATGTGATGTTAAAACTGCTCTCAATCTGTATTCTGATGTCACACTCTGTGTCTGTGATAAGATGTTACGCTTTGATATTTTGTCATGCTGTTCTCAGTCTGTGATGTGATGTCACACTGCTCTCATTCAGTGATGTCACACTGTTCTCCGTCTGATGTGATGTCATGCTGCTCTAAGTCTGTGTTGTGATGCCACGCTGCTCTCAGTCTGTGTTGTGATGTCACTATGTTCTCTCTATGATGTCACACTTTTCTCAGTCTGTGATGTGATGTCATGCTGCTCTCAGTCTGTGTTGTGATGTCATGCTGCTCTCAGTCTATGTTGTGATGTCACACTGCTCTCAGTCTGTGATGTGATGTCACACTGCTCTCAGTCTGTGTTGTGATGTCACACTGCTCTCAGTCTGTGATGTGATGTCACACTGCTCTCAGTCTGTGATGTGATGTCATGCTGCTCTCAGTCTGTGTTGTGATGTCATGCTGCTCTCAGTCTGTGATGTGATGTCACGCTGCTCTCAGTCTGTGTTGTGATGTCACTATGTTCTCTCTATGATGTCATGCTGCCCTCAGTGGGATGTCAGGGTGGGTTGCACCCTATGGCACCCTCACACTGCTCTATATATTTGTGTTTTGTGTCGCTGTATATTAAACCCTTTGTTTCTTCCACCACCGTACAGCCGATTCTGCTCACTTTGGACTCACTTTGGAAGTCGATCAACTTTCCAGAAATTGCATTGTGAGTATTAATCATTAAAAGGTTTCCAACCTGCCTGTATTTATCCAATGATCAGATTTTATATATCATACATTATACAAAGTCCATCTCAGAATCTCACACATGGGATCTGTCTCACTATCTCCCACGCACGGGATCTGTCTCACCATCTCCCACGCACGGAATCTGTCTCACTATATCACGCACGGGATCTGTCTCACTATCTCCCATGCACGGGATCTGTCTCACTATCTCCCATGCACAGAATCTGTCTCACTATCTCCCACACTATCTCCCACGCACGGGATCTGTCTCACTGTCTCCCACGCACGCGATCTGTCTCACTATCTCCCACGCACGCAATCTGTCTCACTATCTCCCACGCACGCAATCTGTCTCACTATATCACGCACGCGATCTGTCTCACCATCTCCCACGCAGGGATCTGTCTCACCATCTCCCACGCACGGGATCTGTCTCACTATCTCCCACACACAGGATCTGTCTCACTATCTCCCACGCACGGGATCTTTCTCACTATCTCCCACGCACGGGATCTGTCTCACTATCTCCCACGCACGGGATCTGTCTCACTATCTCCCACGCACAGAATCTGTCTCACTATCTCCCACGCACAGAATCTGTCTCACTCTCTCCCACGGATCTGTCTCACTATCTCCCACGCACATCTGTCTCACTATCTCCCACGCACGGATCTGTCTCACTATCTCCCACGCACGGGATCTGTCTCACTATCTCCCACGCACGGGATCTGTCTCACTATCTCCCACGCACGCGATCTGTCTCACTGTCTCCCACGCACGGGATCTGTCTCACTGTCTCCCACGCACGGGATCTGTCTCACTGTCTCCCACGCACGGAATCTGTCTCACTATCTCCCACGCACGGGATCTGTCTCACTATCTCCCACGCACAGAATCTGTCTCACTCTCTCCCATGCACGGAATCTGTCTCACTATCTCTCACGCACGGGATCTGTCTCACTATCTCTCACACACGGGATCTGATAGACATGACAAAGTATTCAAGGGCTTGGCCTCCAAATTCCCCAGATCTAAATTAGATCGAGCATCTGTGGGATGTGTTGAAACAACAAACTTGATCCATGGTGGCCCCACCTCGCAACTTGCAGGACTTAGAGGATCTGCTGCTAATATCTTCGTGACAGATACCACAGGACACTTTCAGAGGTCTTGTGGCATCCATGTCTCGACATATCAGAGCTGTTTTGGCAGAATGAGGGGAACCTGCAATATACAAAGTTCATTCTGATTTCACACTGATCCCAGTCTGTGATGTGATGTCACTCTGCTCTCTGTGAATGACAGTGTCTGTATTTTCATGTCTGTATGACTGTCTCTGTATGACCGTGTCTGTATGACAGTGCCTGTATGTCTCTGTATGACCATGTCTGTCTCTGTATGACTGCCCCTGTATGACCATGTCTGCGTGTCTCTGTATGTCTGTGTCTGTATGACCGTGCCTGTATGACCATGCCTGTCTGTGTCTGTTTAACCATGCCTGTCTGTCTCTGTATGTCTGTGTCTGTATGACAGTACCTGTATGTCTCTGTATGTCTGTCCCTGTATGTCTCTGTATGACCATGTCTGTCTGTGTCTGTTTAACCATGCCTGTCTGTCTCTGTATGTCAGTGTCTGTATGACTGTCCCTCTATGTCTCTGTATGACCATGTCTGCCTGTCTCTTTATGACTGTCCCTGTATGTCTCTGTATGACCATGTCTGTGTCTGTATGACTGTCCCTGTATGTGTCTTTATGACCATGTCTGTCAGTCTCTGTATGACCATGTCTGTGTCTGTATGACAGTACCTGTATGTCTCTGTATGACTGTCCCTGTATGACCATGTCTGTCTGTATCTGTTTGACCATGCCTGTCTGTCTCTGTATGTCTGTGTCTGTATGACAGTACCTGTATGTCTCTGTATGTCTGTCCCTGTATGTCTCTGTATGACCATGTCTGTCTGTGTCTGTTTAACCATGCCTGTCTGTCTCTGTATGTCAGTGTCTGTATGACTGTCCCTCTATGTCTCTGTATGACCATGTCTGCCTGTCTCTTTATGACTGTCCCTGTATGTCTCTGTATGACCATGTCTGTGTCTGTATGACTGTCCCTGTATGTGTCTTTATGACCATGTCTGTCAGTCTCTGTATGACCATGTCTGTGTCTGTATGACAGTACCTGTATGACCATGTCTGTCTGTATCTGTTTGACCATGCCTGTCTGTCTCTGTGTGTCTGTGTCTGTATGACCATGTCTGTGTCTGTATGACTGTCCCTGTATGTCTCTGTATGACCATGTCTGTCTCTGTATGACTGTCCCTGTATGTCTCTGTATGACCATGTCTGTCTCTGTATGACTGTCCCTGTATGTCTCTGTATGACCATGTCTATGTCTGTATGACTGTCCCTGTATGTCTCTGTATGACCATGTCTGTCTCTGTATGACTGTCCCTGTATGTCTCTGTATGACCATGTCTGTCTCTGTATGACTGTCCCTGTATGTCTCTGTATGACCATGTCTGTCTCTGTATGACTGTCCCTGTATGTCTCTGTATGTCCATGTCTGTCTCTGTATGACTGTCCCTGTATGTCTCTGTATGACCATGTCTGTCTCTGTATGACTGTCCTGTATGTCTCTGTATGACCATGTCTGTCTCTTTATGACTGTTCCTGTATGTCTCTGTATGACCATGTCTGTCTCTGGATGACTGTCCCTGTATGTCTCTGTATGACCATGTCTGTCTCTGTATGACTGTCCCTGTATGTCTCTGTATGACCATGTCTGTCTCTGTATGACTGTCCCTGTATGTCTCTGTATGACCATGTCTGTCTCTGTATGACTGTCCCTGTCTCTGTATGACCATGTCTGTCTGTCTCTGTATGACCATGTCTGTATGACCTGTATGTCTCTGTATGACCATGTCTGTCTCTGTATGACTGTCCCTGTATGTCTCTGTATGACCATGTCTGTCTCTGTATGACTGTCCCTGTATGTCTCTGTATGACCATGTCTGTCTCTGTATGACTGTCCCTGTATGTCTCTGTATGACCATGTCTGTCTCTGTATGACTGTCCCTGTATGTCTCTGTATGACCATGTCTGTCTCTGTATGACTGTCCCTGTATGTCTCTGTATGACCATGTCTGTCTCTGTATGACTGTCCCTGTATGTCTCTGTATGACCATGTCTGTCTCTGTATGACTGTCCCTGTATGTCTCTGTATGACCATGTCTGTCTCTGTATGACTGTCCCTGTATGTCTCTGTATGACCATGTCTGTCTCTGTATGACTGTCCCTGTATGTCTCTGTATGACCATGTCTGTCTCTGTATGACTGTGCCTATATGTCTCTGTATGACCATGTCTGTCTCTGTATGACTGTCCCTGTATGTCTCTGTATGACCATGTCTGTCTCTGTATGACTGTCCCTGTATGTCTCTGTATGACCATGTCTGTCTCTGTATGACTGTGCCTGTATGTCTCTGTATGACCATGTCTGTCTCTGTATGACTGTCCCTGTATGTCTCTGTATGACCATGTCTGTCTCTGTATGACTGTCCCTGTATGTCTCTGTATGACCATGTCTGTCTCTGTATGACTGTCCCTGTATGTCTCTGTATGACCATGTCTGTCTCTGTATGACTGTCCCTGTATGTCTCTGTATGACCATGTCTGTCTCTGTATGACTGTCCCTGTATGTCTCTGTATGACCATGTCTGTCTCTGTATGACTGTCCCTGTATGTCTCTGTATGACCATGTCTGTCTCTGTATGACTGTCCCTGTATGTCTCTGTATGACCATGTCTGTCTCTGTATGACTGTCCCTGTATGTCTCTGTATGACCATGTCTGTCTCTTTATGACTGTCCCTGTATGTCTCTGTATGACCATGTCTGTCTCTGTATGACTGTGCCTATATGTCTGTGTATTGTAAAGGTAGAGAGTATATGCACACACTATCCGGATAGTTCTTCCATCAGGATGCCACAAACCCAAGAAAGATTCAAGAGAATAATGTAGATCAGGGCACACCTGGTGGTTTATTCAGTAGGCAGCTGTATTATAAAGTGCAGAACAAAAACAAAGTTTAGGCTGAAACGTTGTTTTTGTTCTTCACTTTATAACAAACCTGCCTACTGAATAAACCACCAGGTGTGCCCTGATCTACATTGTTCTATTGTATATGTCTGTGTATGACTGTGTCTGTGTGTCTGTGTTTAACTGTGTCTGTATGTCTGTGTATGACTGTGTGTCTTTGTTTAACTGTGTCTATGTCTGTGTATGACTGTGTCTCTGTGTCTGATTGTGTATTACAATCTCTGTATGTCTGTATCACTGTGTCTGCATATCACTGTATGTCTGTGTATGACAGTGTCAGTATGTCTCTATGTGTCTCTGTATGACTCTTTTTCCGTATCTGTATGTCTCTATGCGTGTCTGTATGACTGTGTCTGTATGACAGTGTGCCTGTATTACTGTGTCTGTTTGGTTATGTGCCTTTTAGGTGTCACAGTATCATTGTGACTGTGTACCTGAATAACTATGTCTGTGTGCCTTTATGGTTGTGTGTCTGTGTGTTTTTGCTTTGTGCATGTATGTCTTTGCCTGTGTATCTTTGATACACAGTCTGTATGGCTGGGGAGGAAAAAGACACACAAAGGGACTGAGGGAGAAGAGACACAGATAAGCATATAAGCAAGGTATTAGACCATTTTTAATTTTCTATATTTTGTCTGCTGTGTGTGTCCTCAGTTGTATTTGTGCAGCGAATAAAAGGTAGTTTTTCGAGCTTAGGATGGTTAAAAAATAAATACATTTAAAAATGCATATATTTTTGCTTTAATGCCTTAATCATATGCATTGAAATATAAATTTTATTAAACAGTGTTTCACTTAATATCGGCATTCCTGAAACAAAGAAATCTCTTGTTCTTCAATAATTAAATTTTTTATAAAAGTCTTTGTAACGGAGCTCCCTGTACTCCAGCTGGGTACCTCCGCCAAAGGACCGCTTCCTAGCTGGAACAGGGGACAAACCGCAGCACTTCTGCCACACTCGCCGTGGCTTGACTAGGGTCCTGGAACCGCTCCCTCCTGGTGCCGAATGGGGAATCCGCTCTAGACACCCCCAGGCACTGGACAACACTCAGTCCTAGGAGCTCTAGTCCTTACAAGGACTTTCCCCATTGAATCCTACATGCTGGAACAAGCTGGAACAGTGATTAGCCCTTTCCCCTCCCAGTAACCAGACGACACAAAGTTCTGGGAGTACAAGGTGGAATCCTTTAATGGCAGCCACAGACCCCCACAAATGTTACATGCCCTGATAGCCCTGATCTGGGTGACCAACATATTCAAAAATCACCCGGATCATTTCAGGGGTTCAAGAATTTCCTTGAAGTCATAATTTGACCACATGGTCCCCTGCCGAAAATAGTTCCATGGAATCGCTGCTAAGTGCCACTGGGGACGGACCGCAAAGTCTTCATGACAAAAATAGTTCCAGGGCTTTCGTGGCTAAGTCCACCTGAAGTTTATTTGCGGTTTTGAGCGATGCGAACGGCTTCCAGGGAGCTAGCGTTCGGTTCTATGTGTACGAATGGTAAGTGCCGAACCAGGGGAAATAAAAGATTGGTCTTTACAGTCGCTGACCTGCCCATAGTCGGTGGGCAGGGGACTGGCAAGCAGGCACCTCCAGTAGCTCGTGGCAAACTCACGAGGACAGGGGAGTTTGTCACAGTCTTCTTTTTATAATCTTGCTCAAGACAGCTTTATTGAGGACGTACTGCATACATTACTAAAGTTTTATTATACAACATATCTGTTGCCAATAAGAAACCTTTCTTTTTGGTTTTGTGAATTCTCTATTTCTTTATTTAGAAAGAGTAACAAAATGAAAAATCCAATTAGGCAATTAGAAGATATGTATAACAGCAAGGAGTGGGAAGGACAGAAAGAGAAGTTTATTTAGGGAAGAATGAGTGAGAAAGAGGATAAATTTAGATTTATGTTGTGATAAGTTGTGCGTGTTGGCAATGCTTTTATTCATTTAAAGCTGCTTAATAAACAGCATACAAGATGTACCAAGTAGGGCCAGAAATTCAGACTCATGTCCCTGCCATCTATCGTTATCACAGAACAACAATTTTCTATTTGCAATTAAGGGAACACTTTAGTACCAGGAAAACAAACTTGTTTTCCTGGCACTATATAGTCTTTAGGTCCCTCCCACCCTCAGGGCCCCCATCCCGCTGGGCTGAAGGGGTTTAAACCCCTTTAGCCACTTATCTTTATCCAGCGCCGGGCTCCCTGGGCACTGGTGACCTCTCCTCCGCCGTCAGCTGCCAAGTGGAGCTGAATGCGCATCTGCGGCCAGAGCTGTGCGCGCATTAAAAACGCCCATAGGAAAGTATTACTTAATGTTTTCCTATGGACGTTCTGTGTACTCAATGCGATTTTCGCATTGAGCGTTGCGGAAGCGCCTCTAGCGGCTGTCAGGAAGACAGCCACTAAGGCTGGATTAACCCTCAGTGAAACATAGCAGTTTCTCTGAAACTGCTCAGTTTTCAGCTGCAGGGTTAAAACTAGAGGGACCTGGCACCCAGACCACTTCATCGAGCTGAAGTGGTCTGGCTGCCTATAGTGGTCCTTTAAAACACGCACAACTCACTATTTCAAGAGTAAAATCACTGACATTTACACGTACACAGGTTAGGCCACGGCAGCCTTTTTTTGTAATAAAAATATCTCCCCCGACAGACTCAGTCCATTGCTGTCAGACACCTTCCATCTGTGACTGAGTTTATGACTAGTCAATCCGTGGGGACCGGTGTGTATTGAGAGGGACGGCAAACTCAGGAACCGCCCCAGGCAGGAAAAGCTCCGCCACTGGGCAGGTGGTTTTAATGTTGCGGCTGATCTGTGTATTTTGTCTTCGCCCTATATGAAAAAAATTATATTTTTCTGTTTGTCTGCAGGTGTGTGGGATTGGGACTCCCCATGACTGTGATCGTGTGTTGTATATGAATGGAGCTTGTTACAAACTCACCTCCAACCTGACTGTGTCTGCGCAGCTGCAACCAGGATATCGAGGTAAATAATGGTAATGACGGTAACTGACAATAAATGAGTGTAAATAACGGTAAATGGTGATAAATAACGGTAACTGACAGTAAATCACGGTAACTGACTAAATGATGGTAAATAACAGTAAATCACGGTCAATAATGGTAACTGACAGTAAATAACGGTAAATAATGGTAACTGAGGGTAAATAACGGCAAATCACTGTTAATAATGGTAAGTTAGTGTAAATAACGGTAACTGAGTGTAAATGACGGCAAATCACGGTAAATAATGGTAACGAGGGTCAATAACGGTAACTGACTAAATTACAGTAAGTAACAGTAAATTGCGGGAAAATAACGGTAACTGCCGGTAAATAACGGTAACTGTGAATAAATAATGGTAACTGAGGGTAAATAATGGTAACTGACAGTAAATAACGGTAACTGTGAATAAATAATGGTAACTGAGGGTAAATAATGGTAACTGTGAATAAATAATGGTAACTGAGGGTAAATAATGGTAACTGACAGTAAATAACGGTAACTGATGGTAAATCACAGTAACTGACAGTAAATAACAGTAAATTGCGAGAAAACAAGGGAAACTGACGGTAAATAACGACAATTGAAGATAAATAACGGTAAACAATGGTATTTGATGGTAAATCACTGTAACTGACGGTAAATAACGGTAACTGACGGTAAATAACGGTAACTGAGGGTCAATAACGGTAAATCACGGGCAATAACGGTAACTGACGGTAAATAACGGTAACTGACTGTAGCGGATGGTATTACGGCTGTCCCAAAAGACTGTGTTAAAAATGCAATTCGTGCGTTTATTTTCCTGTATAGCTAAAAGTGTATGTAGTATTCGTATGATTGTTCGGTAGTTTCCATCCGTATTCCATACGAATAAAAAAACTACCGAACCAGTAGACCACCCCAGAGAGAAGTGTGCACCTTATTAGGCTTGCACACTTCTCTAACCACAAGTTAATTGATATGATCGGTACTTTGTGCATGTTTCTGGGCATCTAACGCACGAAAACCTCAGCGGTGTTTGGTCGTCGAGTGTCTGGAACTCAAATCGGACACTCAATTACCCGAACACCGCTGAGACCTCCAGAGCTCCGTAACTCCCGAACGGAAGGGCTAATCAGCCCCTCGTTCGGTGAGTTAAAATTACCGAACAAAGGTATTCATGCGAATACAGTTTTAATAGTGGATGTCATGTATTTCTGTGTATTTTACATACCGAACGGAGACCGACCGCAGGGCCAAAACACATGGAACCCTTTTCGGCTACCACCCGGTTAGTCTACCCTTGGGGGGGAGATATGTGGCAAACGCCCTGTGGTCTGGCCGTTTGCCACGAGCTCCTGGAGGAGCCTGCTTGCCAGCCTGCTACCTCAGGACTATGGGCCCTGCAATATACCTTGCCCAATGCACTTTGCAGGCTCCGTTCATGTAATTTATGTACTTTTGTACTCCAGAAAGAGAGACCGACCGTTAGCCCTGATTTCCTGGAACTGTTTTGGACATAGGACCATGTGCACGGTCGGTCAAAATTATGACTTCCATAGAAATCCCAACCCCTGAACCGACCTGGGTGATTTTTGGATATGTTGGTCACCCAGATTGGGGCTATCGGGGGTTGTAACTTTTGTGGGGCTTTTTTTAATGTGTTTTGGGGGTATTTCCGGGGTTTTGTTATATTGCCTGTTTCTGTACTGAGAGATAATTAAATTATATGTTTGTGTGCTAAGGTAATTATATCTCAGGTACAGGGGAGGAGTATGATGGATGTTTGCTTGTATCTCGTCTCCTCTCAGGTCCAGGGGGAGGGATTATCATGTTTTGTGTGGGCGTGTTTACGGTGTCCCTGTGTTGTACAAAAGCAGGCCATTGAGCCTGGATTAAACACATTTGTTTTACCCCTTCATGAAGTCTAGGCTCATGTTTTGGGGGATCGGAGAGCTCTAATCCCTACTCTGCTGGAAGCAGGAGAGTTATAATCACTGTAGCACTTGGGGTTCGGGAGACTACTAACGGATATACTCAGCCGGACGGTAAATAACGGTAACGACTAACTGACAGTAAATAATGGTAACAGACGGTAAATAACAGTAACTGAGTAAATGACGGTAAATAACAGTAACTGACGTTAAATAAAGGTAAATGGCAGTAAAGAACGGTAGTAAATAATAAAGTAACTGACAGTAAATAATGGTAAATAATGGTAAGTGGAGGTAACTGATGGTAAATAACTGTAAAATTACAGTTAATAATGGTAAATGATGGTAATCATGATAAATGATAATGATAGTGAATTATGATAAATGATGGTAAGAGATGGTAAATGGTGCTAAATTATAATAAATTGTGGTAAATGATAATTAATGATAAATTATGATAAATGATGATAACAAGCTCCAGCTGCCTTTGTAACCATGAATTTACACCTTAATAAACCATATAATAACGTCATCTTTTACCCAACTTCTCTGACTGCTTATTAGTGACCCCATATCTCACCCACAGACTGCCAGAAAGCTGATGTGGACCTTTGCTTTCTGGTTGATGGTTCCTCTGGGATGGGCGAAAGAGAGTTTGCAGCTATCCGGGAATTCATGATCAGCACCATGAGAAGCCATAATTCAAGCAATATCAACGTGAGTGGAGGAAGAAAAGTGTGGGAGGGGGTGAAAGGATCTGAAGAAGGATGCTATGTGTGGAGAGCTTGAGGTAGGTCTGCAGTGTACCTGCACCTACAGTTGCAAGAAAAAGTATGTGAACCCTTTGGAATGATATGGATTTCTGCACAAATTGGTCATAAAATGTGATCTGATCATCATCTAAGTCACAACAACAGACAATCACAGTCTGCTTAAACTAATACACACAGAATGAAATGTTGCCATGTTTTTATTGAACACACCATGTAAACATTCACAGTGCACGTGGAAAAAGTATGTGAACCCCTAGACTAATAACATCTCCAAGAGCTAATTGGAGTGAGATGTCAGCCAACTGGAGTCCAATCAATGAGATGAGATTGGAGGTGTTGGTTTACAGCTGCCCTGCCCTATAAAAAATCTTGGCCCGTCCCAAGATTAGATTGCCTGCACAAGTTCATTGCCGTTCAGACCACATACCCACTGGGAGCTGCTTCTGACCACACACCAACTGGGAGCTGATGGAGTGACTGTCCGTTTGTTACAACTATCATTACCTTTACCTTCGTTTAGAGCATCATCTGATTACAACTCTTATTGGGTACACCAAGAAAAAGATTTCTACATTTGGTGAGATCTATCCATATATAGTTATATATAGTGCACTATATTGGACTACCAGGACTCTCAGATTGTTTTGATTATTTTTTCTTTTTTTCATTTTTTCTTTTTTCATTTTTTCCATCCCTTTGTCTCTTCTTATTTCCCCTTTCCTTTTTTCTGCTTTGGATTGGGGATTTTTTCATTATTTTTCATTTTTTGCATTTTTTTCATTTTTTCATGTGTTTCGTTTTTTCAGTTTTTTCATCATTTTTTCAATGAATCATTACCAAGTGTATACACATTAGATGAACTTTATCCAATGTATAGAATATTCTGTATATACTGTATATATTGTATATATTCAATGTATATAATTGGTGTACTCAGGATGATATGAACATTTCTATTATCATACTTCATATAACTTTATTTAGAATAAACATTATGAATTTTTCACAGCAATAATAACTAGTATCAATTATTACTATTAGAGTGCGGTATTCATTATATAGTTTTTAGGATTGTTATTTGGAGGTTGTCTTTGGGGTTAACCTCGAATACCGGCACCTAGATGTAATTGAGTGCCAGCACACGTTGTAATTTTTTCTTTTATTTTTTCTATAAAAAACACACACCAGTTCTGGGTTTGCTTTTCACAAGAAGCATTGCCTGATGTGAATGATGCCTCGCACAAAAGAGCTCTCAGAAGACCTACGATTAAGAATTGTTGACTTGCATAAAGCTGGAAAGGGTTATAAAAGTATCTCCAAAAGCCTTGCTGTTCATCAGTCCACGGTAAGACAAATTGTCCATAAATGGAGAAAGTTCAGCACTGCTGCTACTCTCCCTAGGAGAGGCCATCCTGTAAAGATGACTGCAAGAGCACAGCGCAGACTGCTCAATGAGGTGAAGAAGAATCCTAGAGTGTCAGCTAAAGACTTACAAAAGTCACTGGCGAATGCTAACATCCCTGTTAGCGAATCTACAATACGTAAAACACTAAACAAGAATGGATTTCATGGGAGGATACCACAGAGGAAGCCACTGCTGTCCAAACAAAACATTGCTGCACGTTTACAGTTTGCACAAGAGCACCTGGATGTTCCACAGCAGTACTGGCAAAATATTCTGTGGACAGATGAAACCAAAGTTGAGTTGTTTGGAAGAAACACACAACACTATGTGTGGCGAAAAAAAGGCACAGCACACCAACATCAAAACCTCATCCCAACTGTGAAGTATAGTGGTGGGGGCATAGAAAAATAGAATGTGACGACAGATAAGAACCATTCGGCCCATCTAGTCTGCCCAATTTTCTAAATACTTTCATTAGTCCCTGGCCTTATCTTATAGTTAGGATAGCCTTATGCCTATCCCACGCATGCTTAAACTCCTTTACTGTGTTAACCTCTACCACTTCAGCTGGAAGGCTATTCCATGCATCCACTACCCTCTCAGTAAAGTAATACTTCCTGATATTATTTTTAAACCTTTGTCCCTCTAATTTAAGACTATGTCCTCTTGTTGTGGTAGTTTTTCTTCTTTTAAATATAGTCTCCTCCTTTACTGTGTTGATTCCCTTTATATATTTAAATGTTTCTATCATATCCCCCCTGTCTCGTCTTTCCTCCAAGCTATACATGTTAAGATCCTTTAACCTTTCCTGGTAAGTTTTATCCTGCAATCCATAAACCAGTTTAGTAGCCCTTCTCTGAACTCTCTCTCAATATCCTTCTGAAGATACGGTCTCCAGTACTGCGTACAATACTCCAAGTGAGGTCTCACCAGTGTTCTGTACAATGGCATGAGCACTTCCCTCTTTCTACTGCTAATACCTCTCCCTATACAACCAAGCATTCTGCTAGCATTTCCTGCTGCTCTATTACATTGTCAGCCTACATTTAAGTCAAATAATCACCCCTAAATCCCTTTCCTCAGATGTTGAGGTTAGGACTCTATCAAATATGCTGTACTCTGCCCTTGGGTTTTTACGTCCAAGATGCATTATCTTGCACTTATCCACATTAAATGTCAGTTGACACAAGTCTGACCATTTTTCTATTTACCTAAATCATTTGCCATTTGGCTTATCCCTCCTGGAACATCAACCCTGTTACATATCTTAGTATCATCGGCAAAAAGACATACCTTACCATCCACACCTTCTGCAGTATCACTAATAAAAATATTAAAGAGAATGGGTCCAAGTACAGATGATCTGCATCATGGTTTGGGGCTGCTTTGGAAAAATTAATTCCCAAGTTTATCAAGACATTTTGCAGGAGAACTTAAGGCCATCTGTCTACCAGCTAAAGCTCAACAGAAGATGGGTGTTGCAACAGGACAATGACCCAAAGCATAGAAGTAAATCAACAACAGAATGGCTTAAACAGAAGAAAATACGCCTTCTGAAGTGGCCCAGTCAGAGTCCTGACCTCAACCCGATTGAGATGCTGTGGCATGACCTCAAGAAAGCGATTCACACCAGACATACCAAGAATATTGCTGAACTGAAACAGTTCTGTAAAGAGGAATGGTCAAGAATTACTCCTGACCATTGTGCACGTCTGATCTGCAACTACAGGAAATGTTTGGTTGAAGTTATTGCTGCCAAAGGAGGTTCAACCAGTTATTAAATCCAAGGGTTCACATACTTTTTCCACCTGCACTGTGAATGTTTACATGGTGTGTTCAATAAAAACATGGCAACATTTCATTCTTTGTGTGTTATAAGTTTAAGCAGACTGTGATTGTCTATTGTTGTGATTTAGATGATGATCAGATCACATTTTATGACCAATTTGTGCAGAAATCCATATCATTCCAAAGGGTTCACATACTTTTTCTTGCAACTGTATCTACACTGAGGACCTACCTGCACCTATCTACACTAAGAACCTACCAGGAGCCTCAGTGTAGATAGCTGCAGGTAGGTCCCCAGTGTAGATAGCTGCAGGAAGGTCCTCAGTGTAAATAGCTGCAGGAAGGTCCTCAGTGTAAATAGCTGCAGGAAGGTCCTCAGTGTAAATAGCTACAGGAAGGTCCTCAGTGTAAATAGCTACAGGAAGGTCCTCAGTGTAGATAGATGCAGGTAGGTTCTTAGTGTAGATAGCAGGAGGGAGGTCCTCAGTGTAGATAGCTGTAGTTAGGTCCTTAGAACACTAAGGTAGGTTCTTCATGTAGATCGCTGCAGGTAGGTCCTTAGTGTAGATCGCTGCAGGTAGGTCCTTTGTATAGATAGCTGCAGGTAAGTCCTTAGTGTATATAGGTACAGGTAGGTACTC